AAAACGGAATTGGTGAATTTGACTATCCTCGTAACCACCACAAAAAAAAAAGGAAAAAAAAGGAAATAAATCTAAATTAACCTTTTTTTCTTTCTCAAATGACTTCAAATTGTAACATGAAACTACATTCATTTATCCTAAGTAGTTCTAAGTTTGTAACAGTATACATCTATTTATAATTAAACTTTTATTGTTTTACTGCCTATTGAACCATGTATAACTACTATCCATGCCATTATAAGTTGTAAATCACTTGGGGAATGTGCAGCTCATGTTACACTAATGAATTACATTACCCATGAGCTACAATGAGCTGCTTGTGTGTGTGCCTCCTGAATAATTTTTATTATAATATTATTATTATATATTTTACCTAATCTAATCTTAACTAACCTAAAATGATCCTTATTTTTCATTTTAGTTACTTTTATAATTATACATAAAGAATAAACATGAAAAACAAAAATAAAATACTTAATCTTCTTTTTTCTTGCCGTCAATTGTTGAAGACAGTTAACCCTAATTTTTTATACCATTGATAGTAGTGCACTTAATAACTTTTATTCAATTAAATAATGCATCAAAATATATAGTCTAATAACATGCAAAAAGTAGACAAATTCCCTTACTTCTCAAAAATTTTCTGGCTTTCTAGCTATGCAACAAGAGCCGTTACAAATTCATCCAAGCTAATCGTAAATTTTCTCACCGGAACGAATCTTGTACTGTGAGTGAAATTGACGATATTCTATTCAGAATACAACCTTATACTATACATCATTTGATGGATGAAAACCTTGACTTTCTATTGGTTATAGGTAATGCATAATTAAATGTAAGAGAGAACTATTAACAAATCCTGAAAGAGAGGATGTGACAGGTGGGCATGGCAGGAAGGGTCTGATTTTCTATTCAATAGCTCTGTAACCAAACAAATAAAAATTATGGTTTGTCTGAGCAATGATGATTTTATGGAGAGTAATTTACGTTTAATTTCATACCTTTTTGAGGGGTGGTGGATAAAATAGGGAAGATGACATGCTAAGAGAAAATGTGTCACTATGGGAAATTCAGGATTTTTAAAAATATCGCCTTGTAGAATTAAGAACTTAAAACTTGCATACTATTAAAATATGAATTATAAGCTAGATTTTATGCTATTCTAGTTGGTATAACATAAACAAAAAGCAGTTTAATAAAATTTTGAATGTAAGACACTAAAACCTTGTGTAATGCGAAGTAAAGAATACCGTGATGATAGGGTTATTAATCCAGCAAATTACATAATTTCTCGAACTCAAAGCCATTTACTATTTTTTATTTTTGAAAAATTATCCAGTCAATAGCATAATAGTTAACAGCATTCACAGCAGGGAAGCGAGCCCTGGATTTTATCACTGACACACTGATACATATGTAAATTTACCAGTGACTCACTGGGGGATGATAAATATGGGACCAAGCAGGTTTCTTTGGAATGAGAATAAAAATAATCACAAAAACATTTATTAACATTCAGAATTAAAATATTCAAACACAAAGCTACACAATGGGCTATCTGTACTCTGCCCACCACGGGTATCGAAACCCGGTTTCTAGCGTTGTAAGTCTGCAGACATACCACTGTGCCACTGGGAGGCTCAAACAGCTATTTGAAAAACTTCTTCTCAAACAAAGATAAAAGTTACTTACTGGTAGATTATCCAGTAATGTAAGTAATGTGGCCAGGACACGTTTCTCCTGGTCTGATGACGACGCTCCATCCTTCCTGGTACAGAGTGCATCAATTTCATCAATAAAAATTATGGTAGGTGCTCTAGGAAGACAAGAATAACAAAAGAACATGTGAGTTAATAATGTATATGCACATAAAAATATTCATCTTTTTAAAGTACGCAAAGAAGATTAATCTTAATTTTAGAAATTTTGGTTAACATCAACCAGGTGCAGAATTGATGGCCAAAGAGCAAGTCTGTTCAGGGTAGGTTGAAAGAATGACTTCACCAATTCGATTAACCAGTCAACTCGAACTACTTCCAGGAACAGCTGATGAGTGTGACGGGCGGACTCCTGTTCGTAACAAGCTAACAGTAGCCAGTTGTCCATATTATAATGAAAGCAAAACCTGAAAATATGGTCACGAATGCCAAGAAATCAGGATATGTAAGTAAGCATTCACGACATCCATCTTGGTCATCCACAAAACCCGCAGAAAAGGCCCAGCTGAGGGTCAGAAACAATTCCATGGTAAAATGGGAAGACTGAGAAATTGATTGAGGCAGATCAAATCTATTATAGGCCATCAGTCTCCATTTTCTTCAGACTGGAATAAAAACCTGGAGAAAGATGATGAACAGGTTTGATGGCCTGTTGAGACAAAAGGATTTGTACCACCTCTGACAGACACTGGCTGGTGATGGGATCCCAAGGCAGAGGGAAGGAAATGGGTACCTGAGACAAGAGAGGTGGGGAAATAAGTTGGAGGACAAGTCCCTCTGATAACACCTGAATAACCCACTAATTTGTGGTGAAAGATCACCAAAAGAAGAACAAATTGACACAATCAAGCTCCCAACAGACCAGAACCCACTGGGTAGTCATCAGTACTGTTGCCATCGTGCCCATCTAAGTTGAATAAAATGACGATATGAGAAACCTCTAGAAGAAGGAACAGGTAAGGGCTGATTATCAGTAAACGTTACAATACTTTCATACACAATATATCAAATTATTCTTTCCTTTTTTTTCTTTTCACATGTTGCCTATCTATCATGCAAAGTAATATTCATTTTAAGATTAAAAATACTTTTGTGCATCAGAAAATTTTCAAATTTCATATGCAAAAATCTTTATAATGTCCAGATAGTTATCAAACATTTATTAAGAAAAAACTTTATATTTTATCTGTTATTTTCATTAATTGATCTCTGTATGGGTTTTTTAGGTTTTATATATACAGTTGATAACCAAAATATCATAAATTAATATATCAATACCACAAAATTCCACTATAATTTATCAAACTTAGTAACTAAGCTGTATTTCAGTCTAAAAAAAATATGAAATTTTGAGCAGACCAAAGACACAACCTACCTCCTTGAAATATTCATTCAAAATAAAGAAATGGTGTCCAAACATGTTAAAATGGCTGAAAAAGTCACTAGGGGGACATTCTGAGCTTTCAATGGGTTATTCATGTCATATATAGAAGTGAATATAAGGAAGCGTTTCCAAAAATGGAAAGAGGTGGGCAGGGTGCCATCGTGTTTGGTTTATTACATGAGCAATATCTTAGCAAATATAAAAGTTGAGAGGTTCTTATTTTATATTCTAGTTTGTCAATATCAGTAATTTGAGTTCCCACTTCATTCAAAACTACAGACTTAGTATTTTGACATCACAAACATCTAATTTGAACCAGTGCTGCATTCAACATACCACGTGACACACCAAAATCAATTTTTAACTGTTTTTTTTTATATTTACTTTTAAATTAAAAATTGAGTAGGGTATAATACTAAAATTTGAATTATAATCTACAGTTTGATACCAAACTTATTGATATACATTCATGAAATAGTAGTTCAATAAAATTTTGAATGCGAGTCAACAAACGATATGACATGGCCTTTCACCCATGATCCCTCTCGAAAGGAATAACTGTTGTAGTAAACTGAAAGAATAAAGCAGTAAAGAAATTCAAATGGATGAGTGTAAAATAAACCAGGTCTATCACTGGGTTTTGTTTGTAATATGTTAGTTATTAAAATATGAATGTTTTTTCCAGATTTGTAAGTATCATCAGATTATCAGTGTTGTGGAATCTGTTTATGATCAAGTGACTTTTTTGTTTAGGCGGGATCTAAGAAGGTGAGAACCACCGAAACTGATGTGTTTGTTGCTTCAGCTCAGAAGAATATGGTGGAAGAAAGAATAAAATTGTGCAGGGAACTGTGGGATGCGGGGATTAAGGTGGGATTTTCACTGGTGATCTGTCTGGAAAGGGATAACATACAGGAAAATCAGGGACTGTCCCCAAACAGGTAAAACAGACCTCAAATGCTGAGAGTCTAGAAATGGTCAGTCCGCTTGATAGTAAGCCAAAGCAAATTGATCCATAGCCCATGAGAGGTGAGGCATGATGGCACACTCAACCAGTTTTGAAGCAAAATGCTCAGCATGTACCTTAATATTCGGGGATGGTGGGAAATTAAATAATATGAGGAAGAATTATCATGTAACAAAGAATGACGAGGATCATAGGAAATTGGGAAAATGGATAAAACATCAAGTACCCGAGAAATCACATATAAAAATGACGTATTAGGCCTAGCTGATTCCGCAGGTGGGCATGAAGCCATGGCAAAATCTGGTAGTGGAAAAAGGCTAACAGATTCAGCTTGTTTAGGAGGATGTGGGGCAAGTCCAGGAGAAGGTGGTTGACCCATATAACATTCAATCTCTCAGCAGATAATTGCTGATAAATCCCCCCCACACACTTGCAGCCTGTGAAAAAGTGCTTGTTGAAGGTGCAATACCCAAAATGGTAACATTAACCTCAGAATTCATTTCAAATTATGAATCAAACAAAAATGTTTGATTGAAAGATGCAAATGTGTGTGAGAAAAAAAAATCAATAAAGACTGTAAATGAATTTAAAATAAAAGGCATCAGCAACATAACCATAAATGATTAATAAAGAAATCCACTTCGAAATTAGAACAATTACATTTACGTATGCAAACAACTTGAAAAACACAAAGGCAAAAAACATCTGAACACGAGCACTGCCAAACAAGAAGTGATAGTTAGGGAGAATTGAACAGAGGGAGTCACATGCGTGTAGAGTGTGTGTGTCGCACTCGTATTGATGGAGGATTTCCACATGATGATTTGCTCTAGAGATGCATTGGAATCAGTGAATTCCAATGGAGGGGAGGTAAAACGCTTGTGTCACGCATAAACTTTTTTTTTGCATATAGAGGGCAGCATTGAACAAGAATAGCTATTTATGTGAGCGGAGGTAATGTACCGTATCAGAATTGTGTATGCAATGCCCTTGTACAGTGTGCCATTCAATACTGCATTGTGAATTTGATGTCAAGATTTAACTTTTCATTTTATTCTACATTATTGATTTCACAACAGTTAATGTTAGAGAAGAGAAAATGTCAGTTACAACTTATGGGCATACTGAGAAAAATACCTTAGATATGCATGTATGAGTTTCTAGAGGCTATGCAAATGCAATGTGCAAACAGACATATCTTTCATACAAATAATTTATTAACACATCTTATTTTCTTGTGTACAACAGACTTTTACAATTTAATAAAATTTTGCCACAATTTTTGTGATGATACACATAGTAAATCCAGAATTATAGTCAACATTACTTCACCAATGCAGGGTTGGTTTAATGGATATTTGATTAAAGCATTTAGATGAGTTTTGGGATGAAAGTATATAAACATTCTTCTCAAATATATTTAATAAACACTAAATTATTTACATATATTTGTAGAACTAATGTTTATATACTTTTCTTTGTTTAAAAAAAACATTTGATATTTCTTAACCAACCTTTGTTACTAAACACTCAAATAAATCATGCTATATGCAATATTTGTTTGTGCAAAGTTACTCTAAGATAAAAAACTAGCTGTAAAACAAAGTTACGTTGCATTAACACGTAGAGTAATTGACTGCTAGAGCTACAATTATGTTCAGTCACTCTTTTTATTTACACTCCACAACTTGTGTTATTTTAATATAAAGTTCTTTGCATTTCTATCAAAAAAGTATACAAAAATTAATTTTTTACTTATCTGAGCTGCAAAACATACATTTACCTTTTCTGAAATTCTACAGGTGGTCTTTAGATATATATAGTAGGATTATATTACTGATATTATACAGGTGGTCTTTAAGATATATATATCAGTAATATAATCCTACTATATATATATCATAAAGACCACCTGTATAATATCAGTAATATAATCCTACTATATTATACAGGTGGTCTTTAAGATATATATAGTAGGATTATATTACTGATACTATACAGGTGGTCTTTAGGATATATATATAGTAGGATTATATTACTGATACTATACAGGTGGTCTAAGATATATATAGTAGGATTATATTACTGATATTATACAGGTGGTCTTTATGATATATATAGTAGGATTATATTACTGATACTATACAGGTGGTCTAAGATATATATAGTAGGATTATATTACTGATATTATACAGGTGGTCTTTATGATATATATAGTAGGATTATATTACTGATATTATACAGGTGGTCTTTATGATATATATAGTAGGATTGTATTTCTGATATCATACAGGTAGTCTTTATGATATATATAGTAGGATTATATTACTGATACTATACAGGTGGTCTTTATGATATATATATAGTGGGATTATATTACTTATGTTATACAGGTGGTCTTTATGATATATATAATGGGATTATATTACTGATATTATACAGGTGGTCTTTATGATATATATATATAGTAGGATTATATTACTGATATTCTAGACTGGAATAAACACTGAATCTATATTTCTAATAAAGTTGATTAATATTTGTTTGTTCTGCTCAAAAATATAAGAAAAAGCACAAAAAATTGTTTATAAAGCTTCCCTTATACCAATTCTAAGCTACTTTTCTGTAATATGTGATATAAACTAGTAGACCTAGAGTTACCTTTCTATGGCTTCTTGAAAAATGTTTCTAAGCCTAGCTTCAGTTTCTCCATAAAACCTACAAAATTAAAAACAAATTAATTTGTAAACATAAGTACCTAAACTGCATGCCACACTTGCTCCTGATAAAGTCTCGTACTTATTATATTATTACTAATTATTCACTTTAAAATACAGTGAAAGAATTAGACATATTTATTAGTTAATTGAGCTGGCATCATGACTCCAAACTCCTATAAAAACTCTACAAGGAATACAAATCAAAAAGTAAAATATAACTAAAGATAAACATAAGAAGTAGCTCAGATGTAAACATTACTAACATCTCAACAATACTACTAACAACAAAACTAGGAACATTCATTTCAACGTTTCATAATAATGATTTATTAATTAATGTACAGTGATATTATATGATCAGTTTAATTAGGTAATAGCTTACTGTATATTTCTAGAATGTTATTATACGATCAGTTTAATTAGGTAATAACTTACTGAATGTTTCTAGAATGTTATTATATGATCTGTAAGATACTAACTTACTGTATATTTCTAGAATGTTATTATATGATGAGTTTTAATTAGATTATAACTTACTGAATGTTTCTAGAATGTTATTATATGATCTGTAAGATACTAACTTACTGTATATTTCTAGAATGTTATTATATGATCAGTATGATACTAACTTGCTGTAAATTTCAGGTCCATTGATTGTGATAAAATGAGCTTTAGTTTCTGTAGCCACAGCTTTAGCAATCAAAGTCTTACCCGTTCCTGGTGGTCCAAATAGTAATATGCCTCTAGGTGGCTGCAATCCTGCCAAAAACAGAAGCTGTTTATCAAAATCAGTAAAAAAAACAAAAAACAACTAAACTTTCAGTCACCAAAGATCAGCAAAAGGTAAAAATTTCTTATTATAGAAAATGTAAAAGTTTAAACAAAACCTATCAACTTTAAACACGTTATTTTAAACAAAACCTATTAATTATAAACATGTTGTTTTAAACGAAATTTATCAACTATAAACATGTTAATTTTACAGCCTTTTCTCCTTCATTAGTAATATCAATAGATAATCTCACCACAGCTGTTCAGGAACTCACTGTTCTTCATGGGAACTTCTACAGCTTCTTGAACCAGTTTCAGTTGGTGGTTTAGTCCACCAATATCAGCATAAGAAACCCTTTTATATACCTGGAATTGGTGCTGGGTTTTTTCTACAGCAATTTCTAGGTTTGACGATGAAGTTATTAGATAAAATTGATTTATTTCTTGATAGTCTTCCTGTAAGTGTTCTTTCCTTGGTATTTTATACTGATTTTCAGTGAATGAAGAAAGAAGTGGTAGTTTACGAAGTGGAGTTGATGATGTCACAATGGAAGAATTGCTGGTTTCATCCAAATTAACGAATGATTTTTCACTATGATTAAAATCTGGCAGAGATTTACCAACAGTGTCATCATGGTAACCTTGTATTTCTAATGACTGAATACCAACATGTATTTCACTAATATCACTTACAGATTCTTCTGGGTCACCAGTAAAAGAAGATAAACAAACATCACTCGCCATGCTATCTTCCTTCTCTTCTACAACTTCTTCCACTAAAAATTTGAAATGTCGTCCATAATATCTACAGGTAAGTTCTGAACCAATGGTAACACACTGATCACCTGAAATGAAAAATATATTAGATTCATTGAACACTTATTCCTCAAAGAAGATGTTTATATTGTAACAATACTTCTGCATGATAAAAATCTTAGTCCAACCATAGAATGATCTCAAAATAAAATCAATAATTGTTCAGAAAATGAATCCTTCAATTTATCTAACAACAAATCAAATTATTTCCAATGTTATCAAAAATATTAAATTATTTGGGATGAATTATAACTTCTACATGGCTCTTGTAATTACAAGAACCCTTCTACACCAGGTAAACTAGGTGTAGGTACAAGTTGAACTGTCACATTTTAACTTTTGTTAGTTTATACACACACACACACATAACTTCTACACCAGGTAAACTAGATGTAGGTACAAGTTGAACTATCACATTGTAACTTTTCTTAGTTTATACACACACACACACATAACTTCTACACCAGGTAAACTAGATGTAGGTACAAGTTGAACTATCACACTACAACTTTTCTTAGTTTATACACACACACACACATAACTTCTACACCAGGTAAACTAGATGTAGGTACAAGTTGAACTGTCACATTGTAACTTTTCTTAGTTTATACACACACACACACATAACTTCTACACCAGGTAAACTAGATGTAGGTACAAGTTGAA